TTGTCTTAAAATAAAAAATAAAAAGATCCTGGGGATTATTTTTTATTAGAAAATAAAAATTCAATAGAAAGCATAACCAACAGCTTAATGATAGAGTGCCCCTGAGTTCAATCTCTAGTACCACAAAAACAAACAAACCAACAAAAAAAAAAACTACAATTTTTCCTCCACCCATAAGAAAACAAAATTAAGTTACTAAAAATAAACAAATGGGACCATCACTGTGGCATGTGGTAACAATAGGAAATTATTAAAAAGGAGTAACCAATCAAATTAAAGTATAACAAGAAGTGATTAATCAGCTTAACAAAATCTGAATATGCCAGTATTTCTGTGAGATTAAAAAGATCCACTAAGAAGCATCCAAGTGAATGTAAATGAAATATCACCCATTAAATTAATTATGGATGAGCACTATATTGAGTTTGAACTTCATATAGCAAAAAGAATATGAACAGCCTAGACAAAAAACAATAAAATCCAAAAATAAGTAAACCAGATATTTTTCATTGTGCTTCAAGGATAATTTTTAAGTTATCAGTAATTCTCAGAAAGGGAGTTGAACTTCCATAACATGTGGATTCAGGCAAGGGCCAATTTGTAGAGATATTTTCACAAAAATCTTAAAATAGGCTTTTAATCACAACATGTATCTGTGTGTGGTTCTGGGGATGGAAGCAAGGCCTTGCACCTGCTAGGCAAGGCTCTTTCATTGAACTACTTTCCTAGCTCCAAAATACATAATTTAAAAAAAAATATTTATTTATTTTTTTACTTGTAGTTGGACACAGTACCTTTATTTTATTTATTTTTATGTGGTGCTGAGGATCAAACCCAGGGCCTCACACGTGCTAGGCAAGCGCTCTACTGCTGAGCCACAACCCCAGCCCCACAATATGTATTTTTAAATTAAGAAAAGAAATAAGATTACTTTTACACTTAAGTTTTAAGTGTAAAATTTAAAGTGCATTAATTTAAAAGGATTTAAAATACCACTTTAACAGGATTTGAATGATGATGGGCACACAATTTAGGCTGACTGAAGTTCAAGACTTTGTGCAGATACTTGAGATTAAGAAGATGGCAAAATAGAGAATGTCAAGTTCCTGGCTGCTCTGTGGAGTGAAACCAAGAAAACTGACAAGCAGCTTCTCAGCAAGTAAGGTAATTGAAACCTTCAGGGACACTGTAAGTCCACAGGGTAGAATCTCTACTGCCTCAGATCCATACTGTTAGATGGGTAGACGCACAAACAACATGAAAAAAATCAAGGGAACAAATCACCCCAAGCAAACCAAGATACTCCAATAACAGAATCCACTGACACCACAGTGGAAGAAATGCCAGAGGAGTTTAGAATGTACATAGTTAAACTGACCTGCAAAGTAAAGGATGATATAAGAAAGCAAATACAGGTAGCAAAAGATCACTTCAATAAAGAGATTCTGAAAAAAAAAAAAACCCAGAAATTCTTAAAATGAAGGAAACAATAAACCAAATTAAAAATTCAATAGAAAGCATAATCAACAGAATAGATCACTTGGAAGACAGAACCTTAGGCAATGAAGACAAAACATGTCATCTTGAAAATAAAGTGGACAATGGAGATAAGATGCTAAGAAACCATGATTGGGACTTCCAAGAATTATGGATAATGTGAAAAGACCAAATTAGAGATTTATCAGGACCGATGAAGGCATGGAGATACAAACCATAGGAATACACAATCTTTTCAATGAAATAATACCAGAAAATTTCCCAAATCTAAAGAATGAAATGGAAAATCAAATACAAGAAGGTTACAGGACCCTAAATGTGCAAAATTACAACAGACCCACATCAAGGTACATTATAATGAAAATTCCTAGCATACAAAATGAGGATAGAGTTTTAAAGGCTGCAAGAGAAAAACAGTATATTACATATAGAGGATCTCAGATTACACATAGAGGATCACATTATAATAAAAATGCCTAGCATACAGAATGAGGACAGAATTTTAAAGGCTACAAGAGAAAAATATCAGATTACATATAGAAGATCTCAGCTGATTTCTCAGCCCAGACCCTCAAAGCTAGGAGGTCCTGAAATAACATACCAAGCCCACCAAGAATCCTATATCCAGAAAAATTAAACTTCAGATTGAAGATAAAAATAAAAACCTTTCATGATAAACAAAAGTTGAAAGAATTCACAACCAGAAAGCCTACACTTCGGGTGAAAGGATGGGAAAAAAACATATCACTTACATGGATTGTATAAACAAGCAGGGGTTTCTATACTCATATCAGATAAAGTGGACTTCAAGCCAAAGTTAATCGGAAGGAACAAAGAAGATATTTCATACTGCTTAAGAGAATTATACATCAATAAGACATAACAATCATAAATATTTATTCCCCAAACAATGGAGCATGTATGTACATCAAACAAATCCTTCTCAACTTCAAGACTCAAAAAGACCACAACACAATAATACTGGGTGACTTTAAACATACCTCTCTCACTATTGGATAGATCTTCTAAACAAAAAAACTCTAGAACTAAATAATATAAGCAATAATTTAGACTTAACAGACTTATATAGAATATTTCATCCACCAATGACTGAATACACTTTCTTCTCAGCAGCACACATATCCTTATCTAATATAGACCATGCTATGCAAGCTATCACATATGTTGGCATACAATTGTAATATTACCTTAATATATTTTTAGCATCTGTAGGGCTGATAGCTCCCTTGCCATTGATATTGTGTTCTTGCTTTCTTCTTGATTAGACTTATTTGACTTTTAATCAAATTTTAGCTGTATTATTCCTTCTTTATTCATATATTTCTGTTCCTACTCTTTATTTTTTCCTTCCTACTACTTAATTTGAAAATAATTTGTTATTCCAGCTTCTTTCTGATACAAGTTATAATGTTCATCTGAGTACTGTTTCATCCCAGAGATCCTTATATTTTAAGTTTCTATTGTCGCTTTGTTGAAAGCACTTTTTATTCACTTTCCTTGTGCTTTCTTCCAAGACCTCAGAGACATTTATAAGTGTGCCATTTAATTTTGAAGTAGTTGATGTGGAGGTGGGGTCCTATATACCTTAAGGTAATTGATTTCTAATGTAAGAAATCATGCAGGAACCACATTCTTCATGATTTCAAAAATTTTTAAAAAGTAATGGAAATGCTTTTTATATTGATTGTTTCGGTTACATACATGTCAAAACTGACCAAAATCGCATACTTCAAATATATACATTTTATGTACTTCAATCTTACCTCAATAAAGCTATGGGGGGGGGAAAGACTTTGTGCAGATACTTATTCCAAGCATCATATGACTGAAAGCTACACAATTAAGCAAAAAACCTTCACACAATCACCAGTTAAAAGGTGAGCTGGGTGCAGTGGTACATACCCATAATCCCAGCTGCTGGGGGTAGGGCAGCCAGCCTCAGCTACTTAGCAAGACCCCATCTCAAAATAAAAAGGGATGGGGATGAATATGGTTCAGTGATTAAGTGTCTCTGGGTTCAATCTCTGGTAACAAAAATAAAAGGTGAAAACTACTGGTGATGGGCCTAGTGATCTACTAAATGAGTAGAGGTTAGTTAGGGTAAGAGTACAAGTGTTTATAGTAATCGTGTTTTCAACCTCCCCCCCGGTACTGGGGATTGAGCCAGGGGCACTTTACCACCGAGCTACAACCTTAGTCCTTTTTATTTTTGAAGACAGGTCTTGCCTGCGCAGCCTCGGGAGGGGCTGGGTTTACAGGCAAGGGTTGTCGCACCTGGCTCAATCTTTTTTTTTTTTTTTTTCCTTTTCTTTTTCTTTTTTTTGAACAGAGTAAAGACATTTCATGGAAGACCTAAGGAAACTTTAAATGTGTGACTATTTCTACGCTCAGGTATTCTTTCACGTGTTCGTGCAACAGCAGCTATTTCATAGGACCACAGGACCGCTGCGGAGTTGCACCGCCTTGGCGCCCTGGGTCCCCGAGCCACAGCACCTCGGCGGCGTGCTCCCTTCATTGGGAAAGGCTGATTTTCAAGGTCACTGTGGCTTCTGAACCACACACTCCGGCTGGCCGCTCCCCCAGGGGTGAGGGACGTGGCCCTGTGACAGGACTGAGCAAAAGCGTGGCCAGGAGCTCGGCGACGTGGCTGTCACTACACCCAGGTCACAGGCTCCCCGGGCATGGGCGTGCAGCTCGCCTCTGCCTCAGCTGCACCGGGGGTCCAGGGTGGGGGCCGTGGGTCAGGGGACGAGGGGTCGCGGTGCAGGTTGCGCCAAAGTGTGGCAGAGAGCTGGCCAGCGGGGGTCAGGGCCCCTGGAGGGGAAGGGGCAAGGGGTGGCCGGGGTCCCTGGAAAGGGCGGGAAGGGGTGAAGATGGCGGGGAGGGGGGTGGTCCCCTGGAGGGGAAGGGGCAAGTGTCGCCGTGGGGTCCCTGGAGTGGACGGTAAGGGGTGAAGGTGGCCAGGGGTCCCTGGAGTGGATGGGAAGAGACGAGTGTCGCCATGGGGTCCCTGGAGTGGACGGGAAGAGTGTCGCGGGAGTCCCTGGAGGGGAAGAGCGAGGGTGGCGGGGGCTCCCTGGAGTGGACGGAAAGGAGCGAGGGTGGCCGGGGGTTCCTGGAGGGAAGGGGCGAGGGTCGCCGGGGTCCCTGAGAGGACGGTCGCCGAGGCCGGCCGCGAGGCGCGCTCGCCCCTCATCCCCGCCGCGTCCGGCCGCCACGCGGTTACCCGAGCCGTTGGGGCCGATGATGCAGGTGAACCTTCTGAAGGGGCCAATGACCTGGCGGCCCCGCCACGACTTGAAGTTCTCCACGAGCAGCACGTCCAGGCGGCCCATGGCTGGCTCCACGCCTCAGCCGCGTCCTCACGCGCCGGCGGGAAAAGCGCGGGAAGGGCCTCGCCAAGTCTCGCGAGAGACGCGGGGCGGCGCGAGCGCTGTTCCTTGGCAACCGGCGCTATGACCGCTCACTCGCCCGCCGGCTCCGCGCCGGACGGCTGCCCACTGGGGAGCTGCGCCTCCGGGTCGCGGCGGCTTGGTCTCGGCTCTCCGCCCTGCCGGCTTGGATTTGCCCTCGACCCCCGGAGCCATGGAGGTCGTGCTGCCCGCGGACCTGCGGCAGGACGCCCGCGTGGCCAAGAGGAGACACGCCGACTTGTGCAGGCAGAAGCGGGTCTTCGACGCCAGGAGCAGGATCATTGGGGTGAGGGAGGGAGAGCAGCGGCCGGGCGAGCCTGGCCCGAGCGCAGCCGCGCAGGGCCCAGAGCGGTTGGAAGCCCTGGAGGCCCAGGCGGCCTTCCCACCCGCCCCACGGACAGACAGGGCCGTGCCTGGGGGTGATGGGGACACTGGGACAGGCTTTGCTCCCTCTGAGCCAGGGTCCCTTCCAGCCCAGTTCATGTCGGACACACAACCCTTTGGGGCAAGCCCGGCCCCAGGAGAGTCGTCCCGAGGAGGGACTAGCCAGTTCTGGACCTTGCAGAGCTCACGGCCCAGGGGAGGAGGCGGGCATTAAAGTGCTCACAGGAAAAATGCAATGGGTCAGCCTGTGAGGGAGGGGAACGCCGCCCAGAGGAGGAGATGCCTAAGCAGTGTTTGAGGATGTGTCTGTTGACCAGGAAAGGGGGGGGGGGAGTCCAGAGCACAGAAAACCAACTACAAACAAAGTTTTCCAAGCAGGAAGAGTCCTGATAGCGCAGCACCTGGTGGCCACACCTGTAATCCCAGCGACTCAGTAGGCACAGGCAGGAGGACTGCAAGTTCAAAGCCAGCCTGGGCAGCTTAGTGAAAACTGCCTGAAAATTCAATAAAAAAGGCTGTGGCACCCCTAGCACCGTTCCTTGGCAACCCCATTATGGAGAGAGGGGCGGGGCGAGGCAGGGCGGGGTTGGTGGCTGGGAGAAAAGGAGGAAGAGCAGGAGGGAGGAAGCAAAAGGTATCTTCTTGCCTGAGGTAGCTACTTTGCAGTCAGACCAGAAAGGTAGACAGGATGGTCTGTTGAACACCCATTTCTGGCTCTGACCTTGTCCCTGATTTTCCACTTCCAGGGAGACACAGAAGCCTGGAACTCCCAGGTTCATGACCAGAAGATAAGAGAAGCAACTGAAAGAGCTAGACATGAAACCTTTGGTGAGCACTTCTTGAGTGCTTGTCCCTGGGGTTAGGGTGGAGGGTCTTCAGGCTCCATTCCTTACTTCTTCACAGTATTGAAAAAGTTGTTGGGCTGGGGATGTAGCTTAGTGGTGAGCACCTGCTTAGCCTTCTCCAGGCTCTGGGTTCCATCCCCAACACACACACACACACACACCCCATTTTCACGTTCTTTCTCCTTTTAAAATTTCTTAACTTCTTGGGCTCAATCCTTTGTCAGAGGAAAACAGCTTTTGAATTCTAATATATATTATAGGAAATATATTTTAAGAGTAAATGTGTGTTTTACTTTTTCTTAAAATTTTTGGAAAACTTTTTTAAACTCACACATGTACACATCCTCGCCCCAGAGTTCAAGATCTTCTGTGGAGACCAGCTGTTCATACCAGGCAGCACATATCAGAACCCACTCCCCGAGCTGACTCCAGGGCAAATGTGATTCAAATAATAGTGTCTAGGTCTTAGATCAAGATTTCACATAGAATTTATTTTCCGTTATCATGACCAAATTTTTAACTATTTAAAAACTGCTTTTTAATACATCATGAGGATTTTTAAAACAGAAAAGAAGCAGGACCCAAAATCATACATGCCATGGACTACCGGCTACATTTTTAAAATATGCTTACGTGGGTTGGGGATGTGGCTCAAGCGGTAATGTGCTTGCCTGGCATGCGCAGGGCACTGGGTTCGATCCTCAGCACCAATAAAAAATAAAGATGTTGTGTCCACCGAAAACTGAAAAATAAATATTAAAAAATCCTCTCTCTCTCCTCTCTCTCTCTCTCTCTCTCTCTCTTTAAAAAAAAATAAAATATGCTTACAAAAAGGCCAACGTTCAGCAGTGGCAATGTCAGATGAGGGTATTATAAGTGGAGTTTATTTTCTTTTTAGTATTCTGTATTTTCTAAGCTTTTTACCTTCTTTATTTCCTGTTGTAAAATAATTCAAATTACAAAAAAGTGGAGGACACATAATGGACACTAGCTGCTCACATCTGCCAGATTGCCTTGTTCTGAGTGCTTCTAAGAACTGTGGGTTCACAGCCAGAGCACTGTCCTCACAATTCCCTGTCCTTCCTCCTGGGAAGTTTGCAGCATTCCCATGTGTTTCTCCTGCTTACACTGTCTGCATGTCCATGACAATATAAAATTGCTTTTTGTTTTTAAAACTTTTTAAAATTTACAAAAATTTATCCTATCAAGCCTATCCTTTTATAACACTTTTTTTCACTCAATATTCTTGAAATTCATCAATAATCTACCCAGCGAGAGTATTTGTTTTCATTATTTGATGGCGTTTTGCTGTATGAATTAACCAGTTTCTTTATCACCCCTATGGATGGGCAGTTTGGATTTTCCCCAGTTCTTTAGCATTGAAACCTTGCTGTGGTGACCGTCTGTGCATCATGTCCCCAGTGCACAGGGGAGTGGAACTGGTAGGTCTTGTTGCCACATTGCTCTTTTGGAAGTGTGACCCTGTTTATCACACCATCAGCACAAGTGCTCTTACCTTCGTTTCTTCTGTTTCTGATCACTCACCGTTTATTGTTTATTGTTAGTTTATTGATATCTCCAATTTATTCTTTATTGTGGTTCACCTGTTCCTGTCTTTTGCTCATTTTTTGGTTGGGTTGTCTGTGTTGTTTTCTTTTATATACTTTCATTTTATGTGTTTATTTCTTATGTGGTGCTGAGGATCGAACCCAGTGTCTCCATGTACTAGGTATTGAGCCACAATCCAAACCCAGGTTGTCTGTGTTTTTATTAGTCCATAGGGGCTCTTTTATATTTAAGTTACTAATCCTTTAATGGAACATTACTTGTTTTGGAGGGTTGTATTACTTTAACAATGATTAAAAGTTACTTTTAAATGGATTTTTAAATTTTTTCCTCGTAAATTCATTCATATACTGTGTCTCTTCTAGCTACTGAAATGAGGCAAAATGACAAGATCACATGCATATTAGAAGATCGGGAAAGGAGAGATAGGAAAACTCTCTGTAGAGCTACCAATGATTTCCAGCAGAGCTTTCAGAGGCCAGAAACTCGCCGCGAATTTGACCTGTCTGACCCCCTATCCCTTAAGAAAGCTCTTCCAGCCCGGCAGTCAGATAATGACATCCGGAATACCATATCAGGAATGCAAAAGTTCATGGGGGAGGATTTAAACTTCCGGGAGAGGAAGAAATTCCAAGAGGAACAAAACAGAGAATGGTCCTTGCAACAGCAACGGGAATGGGAGAGGGCTCGTGCCCACCAGAAATGTGCAGGTAAGGGAGAGAGGCAAACTGGCTCAGTGATCCCAACCAGTCAGTCCCCCAGGGGCCCAGGTGCTGTTCATCCTCCTGAAGTGCACAGCCACACGCTTCTTTGGCATGTGGGGAAAGAGCCCCACGGGTCAGCCCGGCGTTAGGGCCCCAGTGGGTTCTGGAGCTCAGATAACCCAGAGTCGGCCTCTGCCCCCATTGTGTGCACAGTGCTTAGAAGATGGATGGGAACACGTAGGCCCACAGAGTCCTCTGAGTGCTGGAAGTCAGAGGGGGGCCTATGGGGACCTAGTTGCATCCTGTGGTCACACACCGCACCAGGACTCCCCAGGCCAAGGCAGCAAGCTGTCTTCCTCAGGGGACTGCCACAGCCCAAGTCCTGCTCTCAGGGAGGCTGCGAGCCGCCTGCTCTAGCAGCTCCCCTCCTCCAGCCGTCTGAGCAGCAGCAGCAGCAGCAGCAGCTGCCGCTGCCCCTCTGGCCTATCTCCCGTGCCAGCGCATCCCTGCTCTTGTGGGACACACCAGTGGGTGGTACAGAGAGCAGGGCACTGGGGCGGGAGCTCTGTACCCCACTCCGAGCCCCTCCGCTCGGGCTGTTCATTTGCTGTCTCCTTGGTAGCGTCCTCTCCAGCCTCTGCTCTTCCCACTCTCTGGGAGCAGGGTCCCTCTCGCATCCTCCCCCACTCTCTCTCTGCCCACTTCTACAGACCTCTGCTTTCCTGGCCAGCTGCACAGTGGCCTCCCTGTCACTCAGGTTCAGGTCTTCAGCTTGGCCTCTTGGCAGCGTTGATCATCTCATGCTCTGAGACACACAGGCCATCTGGCTTCTGGGACTCCGCCCTCTGCTGGTCCTCCTGCCCAGGCTCCTTGATGGGACTCTCTCCCCTGCTCTGGCAGCTCTTGCTCACCAGCGCTCTCTGGGCCTCCCCTCTGCCTGTGCCCGCTGCTGATAAGGATGGGCTGGCCTGGTCCTCCCTCCTTGCTGTGCTCACCCCCAGGCCTCGTTTCCCAAGCTCATGTGTCCCTATGAATGTTCTCCCCTGAATCCGCACTCACAGCCCCACCCAGCTGCCCTGCCTCTGATGAGCTCTGAACTTCAGCGCAGGTCCGGTCACTCTGCTCTCCCCCAGGCCCCACCTTCCTCTCGCATCACGCCAGCCCCAATCAAGACTCCTTCTTTTCTCAGTTCCACATCCAGGCCACCCACAGATCATCTCGAGTTTCAGCTGCTTTTCACATGGCCACCATTGCCACCTGGACTCGGCTTCATTACCTCTCAGCTGGACTGTTGCATTGTCCTCTGACTACCCTCTGCCTCTGCTCTCTCCCCCTGCAGCCTCCACTCAACCGTGGCCAGGGTGGAACCCTGAAAGTCAGGTGGGATCCTTTGCTGGGACCCTTCAGCGGCTTCCCAGTCACTGAGCGAAAGCAAATTCCCGATGACCTCTGAGGCTCGGGGTGTGGCCCATCTCCAGCCAGGACCCTGCCCTGTCCACCCGTTCCTTTCTTTGCACACTGTCTTCCGCTCTTCCTGGGACATGGGTGTGTCCAGCTCGCTTCTGCCTCAGGGTCTCTGCTCCTGCTGCTTGGAAATGTCCTTCCCTGGACAAGGCGCATCTGGTGCCATCCCTGTCCTCGACAGGCTGTGCTGAAATGTGGGCCTCCTGGGCCTCTCGTCCCTTCCCTGCTCCGTTTTCCCAAGGCTCAATTACTGGCACACCTTGGGTTTGTACTTGCCACACTGCTCCTGAGTGTCACACCCTAGCTCAGTGAAGGCGGGGACTTTTGTTGGTCTGTCTACTGCGTATATAGACAGACACCTGTGGGAATAACCCACTCGTGGGCTCTGGGGATCTCCTCCCTCCCCACCTGCTCCAGATTGCCATCGCTGGCCAGGACCCTCATCCCAGCCTTGGCCTTGGTCCTCCAGAGGCCTCCTTTCCCTCTCTGGACTTCTCACAGGGCCCTGGGACCTAACCTCACCTCTGGGTCTGCCCCTCCTGCCTTTCTGCTCCTCCCCTTCACCAAGCCAGAAACTTGGGGCCACCCCTGACCCCCTGCAGGACATCTTCACCTCTTGTCCCTGTCACCTCCTGCACATATTTCTATGATATGGTGCATGATGATCATACATGATAGTGGGTCACTGCGTCAGACCCATCATTTGATCAGTCTCCAGCCCCAGCATCTTCCCTTGTCTTTCCTCCTCCCTCCCCTGACCCGCTTGCTCTGCTGACCCCCCTTCTATTGTTGTTGTCATCATTTTAATCAGCACATTATAATCATAGATATAAGCAGAAGTCATGGTGTAAAACTTGGTAGATTTTTTCCCCAGTCCTTCCCCATACTCCCTCCTCTGCTCTGTCCGTTCTCCCTCCTATTTTCATGAGATCCTTTTTAGTTCCCTTTCCCTCTTTGTAGCTTCCACATAGGAGGGAAACATGCGACCCTCCCACACATACCTCAAACTGTCCACTTCTCTCCGTCCCTGTTGTCATTGCTGGGATAGAAGCACCACCTTCTTCATCCAGATGGACCATGCTGATAGCTGTCCTTCCCCTCTGTGGTCTCAACATGGTGGGCAGTGATGCTTTTTAAACAATGTCCAGTTGAACGGCACCCCCCATCCTCAGCTCAAAGCCCTGTGATGGCTTCCCAGGGCACATGGTGAAGTCAAATCCTGCCATAGCCCGCGAGGCTGTGCTGGGCCTCTGCCGGCCTCCAGCGCTGACTGCTGGCCCTGCCCACTCCGGCTCATTGACTGCCCAGCCTTCCCTGTCTTCAGGTGTGTGCTCGAGTGGCATCTGACCGCCTGCTGCCTCAGCTTTCTCTCCTCTACCAATGGTCAGATGTGTGTTTTTGCACTTATTTTGAACTCCACATATTTACTCTCTCCAAGACAGCCAGTTCCAGGGAGGCAGGAAACCTTTTGTGTTTTTCTCTCTGCTGTGTCTGTGTCCCCAGCACAGCCAGCGGCCCACCTGAGCCTCTGATGCTGTGTGTTGGATAAAGGAACAAATGAAGGGCAAGAGGGGTTGGGGGTGAGCAGAGGCCAGAAGTTCAAGAGTCTGGTTGTAGTCAGGCGCAGTAGCCACGCCTGTAATCCCAGCAGCTTGGGAAGCAGAGGCAGGAGGATCGTGAGTTCAAAGCCAGCCTCAGCAATTTAAGCAACTCAGTGAGACTCTAAATAAAATACAAAATTAGATTGGGAATGTGGCTCAGTGGTCAAGCGCCCCTGAGTTCAATCCCTTGTACCCTGCCCCCCCCAAAAAAGTCTGGTTGTCATTTTTGGAAATAATGAGGGGACCTATCAGGCACAAATACAGAAATCAGGAACTTCTGATTAATGATTTTTGAAAACCGGAACAACCCAAAGTGAAGTAGGTGTTTCTTGCCTTGCCTGGGGATGCAGTGGCTCAGGATAAGCCAGGTTGCAGGTACAGAACTAGGAATGTCTGCAAGTGCTGGATGATCTTCACATTTTGCCACTGGGACCCTCCACTGGGGCCCCTCCCATTGGCCTAGGAAGGTCCTGTCCTACTGTCCCTCCACAAGTATCTGTGACCTGCCACCCCTTCCCCTTTGTCCTTCTGGTTTCTGCAGCTCCTTTTTCTGGGTTCTCACTGCCCCATGCCCACTGTAAGGATGAGGCTTTCTCCTGCAAAACCAGAGACGGCAAGGGGCACACTGCCCCAGGCCACAGCAGTCAGCCCCAGGCACTGCCCATTCACAGCAGACATGAGAGCGCTGCTTGGATGAAGTCAGGGACCCCTCAGCCTTTGGAGGCAGGTCCTGGCATTATCATCCCTGGCCTCCCCGTGACAGAGGGGAGGTGACAGCATGAGCAACCCTGATGCAGGCTACTCTGCACCCGTGTGGGCATGCCAGGTCTGACGTGTCTCTCCTCCTTGTAGAGGACCTCTACTTGCAGACGAAGCTCAAGTTTGATGAAACAGCGAGGCACCTGCAGATGCTGGAAAGCAACGCCAGAAGGGCCGTCTGTGCAGCTGTGAAAGAGTTCAACAGGAACCAGGTGCCCAGCCGGGGCACTGTGCCTACAGGGTGGATGGGCACACGCGGCTGGCTGGACCCCAGCCTCAGGGTCCCAAGCCCACCCCTCCCTCTAGAGCCCCTGCTGAGGTGGATGGCCCTGGGTCTGGTCTGTCCCTTAGCTCTGAATCAGCAACAAAACTTAGAAACTTAGCTTTAGTTTCTTTCATAATTTGAGAGCAGATGCTACCTGGCACTGCTCTGCGGCCTGGTACTGGGTTCAGTTCTTCTCAACCAGGAGAGGTGGATAGGCACTCACCAGGGAAGTGAGGACAGTGGCAAGGACGATGGTGGTCTCCTGGCGACCCCCTCCTCTCAGTCCTTCCCAGCTTCCTCGGATCCCGCCCCTCTCAGGTTTTCTTTGCAAATGCAGGTATATTTCCTGGGTGAGGTCGAGCTGGGTCTGGCTCAGCTGATCAGATTAGCTGGTTGACTGGCACTTGGTCTCCAAAGGAGCTGTGCAGGGTGGCCCCTGAGACAGCAGGAGAACAATACCAGGACTTTGCTTCACATAGTTTCAGCCCTGTCTTTTTTAATGCTGTGTCCATGTGTCTTACAAAGCACATCCTTTATTTGTGGGTTAGAGATGCTGCATTGTAAGCCAAATAAATTTGAGCCCAAGCTGAAATATGTCCTGGAGTATGCAATCAAAAAGCCAGGAGAGCCTGGGCAGAGAGCAGAGGAGATTGGTTTTCAGCAGGGAGAGAAATGAGGCACCAGAGCCCCAGGTCACCAAGCAGTGAGGTTCAAGGGGTCATAGAGGTTATCTGATCCTTGCCCTCTTTTGACAGAGCAGCTCAGGGGAGACTGGTTCAGGCTCCATAACAAATGGACCCAGTGCCTGGGAGTCTTTCCTTCCTTTCCTCCATTCACCTACTCTGTTCCTTTATCCCTGAGCCTCTTACTGGGCACTGCTGGGGTTCTTGCTAAACCACATTGCCTTGTTAATTCGTTTGTTCATTTCCTATTATTTTGATGAGCCCCTACATGTGCCCATGATTAATACAATTTAATTGGTGGAGAGACAGGCTCAGCAGGTGAGCAAATTTTCTCAGGGGTGCCAGTTCTAAGTGGCAAGTATGGAGTTGGGGTGTCTGGCTGCAGAGCCCATGCTGTGTGGCACGAGGCCTGTCGTGAGCACCTGCGTTGCAGGATTCGCTGTCCATTCCTCACCAAGGAGAACTGTTGACCACAGGGGTTCCCATTCTGTCTATTGACTTTACAGAGAAGCTATTGCAGCCCAGAGGGAGGAGCTGACTTACTGTAGGTCACACAGCCACCTGTCCTGGGCATCTGAACAGCAGTTGGTATTGGGGGCCATGGCTGGGCCATCAGGGTCAGTGAAAAGAAGTACCTCTCCCAGCTTTTAGAAGTCATTCATGTTCTTTGCAGCCTGCAGATGTCCAAAGGCTGCCAGGCCACAGGAGGGGCACAGAGCCCTGTCCAGCTGTGGTGCCAGGCTGATGAGGGGCGGGAGCGGCCCAAGGCATGAATCCCATCAGTAGTGGCCCTGCCGTCTCACCCACCCACCCACCTGCAGTGCTCAGGTAGCCAGGGCCCACTGGTTCATCCATACCTCACCAGCCTGTGCCCCTCCTTCCCTGCTCCTGCAGCATGTCCCTCCTGCCAGGGCCCCAGGGGAATTGCTGACCCAGGCCTAGGAACCCCACCCCTGGAGTCTCTCAAAGCATCTTTCCCAATGTCTTTCCCTGTGTAGGCCATAGAGTCACAAGAAAGGAAAAAACAAGAGAAAAAGCAGGAGGAGGAAGACAACCTGGCCGAGATCTCCAGCCTGCTGCACGGGGACCTGCTGTCTGAGAACCCGCAGCGGGCGGCCAGCTCCTTTGGTCCCCACCGTGTGATCCCAGGCCGCTGGAAGGGAATGTCCCGGGAGCAACTGGAACAGGTCCACCTCACTCAGAAGCAGCAAGTCCTGGAGAAGCTGGTACCTGCCCCGCCTCCCAGCCCTTAGAGCACCGTGGTGCCCCTGCCGCCACCCCCAGCCCCTCGTGGCTTTCCTTGGCCAGTGTTACGCTCACCCTGAGTGGGAGCGGCTGGGGGATGAGAGCCAGAAACCCCTCCATGTGTGATGAGGCAGGTGGCATGTGAAGGAGCAACTGGAAGGATAGAGCTGGTGTCCACAGAGAAGGGAAAATGGTGGAAGGAGCAGGTTGGCAGGGAGAGTGGAAGTCACCAGTGCAGTTTCAGATATGTTAAGTGTGCAGTGTCCTTTAGACACCTGAACCTGCTGTGATCAATTCACTGAATGCGGCAAAAAAGAAAACCCCCAAACACAAATACCAGCATTTTGAACAAAATAGAACTTTGTCTTGCATATAGACTAGGTTTGTAGGAAAACAACCCAAGTCTTCTAGGGCAGGCCAGAGGGCCATCCTTGGCACCTGGCTCTCACCTCTTAGCACAAAACATCTGCTTGAGCATTAGCAGTCACATGCATATTCCAGCTATGAAGAAGGAGGAAAGAGGAAAAACACTGTGGGGAGTTTTACAAGACACTTCCACTTAGACTCCATTGGACAATGTTTAGTCACAAGATTGCTCCTAACTATACAGAGTGCTGGGAGATTTAATGTTTATTCTAGGCAGTGAAGTGCAGTGATTCTTCACCAAGGAAGAAGGAATCACAGCTGCTGTGGGACAGTGAAGCCTGGGGAGGCCTGCAGGGCAGCAGGGTGTACGGCCTGGGTTCAGAACAAGGGCTGGGCTGCGGATGTAACTGGGAGTGGTCACCTCTGAGCATGATGAGGGCAGACCTAGGGAGACTGCACAGGGGTGAGCCTAGACGGGGAACTGGGGACCGAGTCCTGGGGCCACTCTCCACCCTCACTACAGAGCAAGGGGGCCTGACGCAAGGACACCAGCTGTGGTGTCCTGGAGAGCAGGTGAGAGGTGTCTGGGAGGAAGGAGGACCCGTGCCTACATTGCTGCCGGCATGCGGCTGCCTGCTGGGTCCTGCACCTAGGCCATGCCTGGGGCTCTATGGGGAGTGCTGTGGTGCAGGAGGGGAAGTGGCCTGCCTGATGGGCTCTGGAGAGAGAGTGGAGGGGTCACAGATGCAGGCAGCGTTTTCAGGGCAGGAGAGCCTGTGGGAGCCATGTCCCTGGAGGGCGGGGGGCCTGAGGCCAGGGCACAAAGCAAGGACTTGGCATGGCTGGGCGCCCAGACCCATCACAGTCTCAGGAGGGCTGCAGGCGAGGCTCAAGGAGCTCCTCCGGAGCTGTTCCTGGGGAGGCGAGAAGCCAGTTACCATAGAGGACAGAGTGTGAGTGGCCTCTAGAGGAATGGGATAGATGACCCAGGTGCCAAAGGCCTGGGCTCGGGGACCCCACCCCATGGCCAGGTGTGCTTCCAGCCATGCTCACGCAGGTGTGAGCTGGGCTCATCCCATGAAATCAGGGCTTCTGGTGGGTGCGGCCACATCTAAGGTTAAGGGTGCTCCCGCCAGTGGAATGAAGGTCTCTGGGACAGGGGACAGTCATGGGAGCCACCAGGGTCCTAGAGAGAGTAAGACACAGGTCAGAGTGGTAGACCTGGGGGAGAGACGAGGAGGGGTGGCATTATTGGTGATCACAGGCGAAGGCAACCCGGGACCAGCATGGCCAGCTGGTGGCCTGCTGGAGTTGGAGCCCCTGGGAGTGGGGGCCCTAGGGGAGGAGGTGGTGCTGAAGCACTGGCGCTGAGGAGCCAGGGCAGGAAAGGAGTATACCTGCGGGCTGGACCACTCAGAACCTGGCAGGAGAGATGGGGAGGTGCTGAAACCCGCCGGGTCCAGGGCTGATCAGAGGCTGGGGTGGCCCTGCGAAGTCAGAACTTACTGGGAGGAGGAAGGGCCCTGGCACTGGCCCAGACAAGGGTCCTGAGGGGCAGTGGGCATGGGTGGTTAGGATATGTGAGGCAGGGCAGGAGCCAGGCCTGGGTGGTGGGTCAGGAGGCCTGGAGGCTATGGAGAGCACAGAGGCAGGAATGGGCGCAGGTGCTGCGCCTCATTCACTCCTCGACTCAGCCCCAGCGGTTAGCCATCTGCCCTAAAGGCAGCTTTTGGTCTAATGTTCAATCTGTAGAAAATTCAAAAGACAAAGCATAAAGGGAGGGAAAGGGCCACCTAAATTGTCACCACCCCACCCCCCACCATGCCATCTGGACCCTCTCCTCCCAGCTTCTGGGCTGTGAGCAGTGGGATGTGGAAACCTAGGATCCTGCAGACTGTCTGGGCCTCTGCCTGGCTATTAGCCCTAGTGCTGCACCCCTGCCACTATGTTTGTGACAGCAGCCTGTGTGATGGCCCAGGTCCTGTGTGCAGCCTCGCGACACATGGAGGCTCCCAGGAGTGGGTCACTTGCTCACAGGAGGCCGCTCCCACCCTCTGCCTTTGGATCTGCATGTGGGATTAGGCCAGGCCTGCAGGCCTGACCCTCCCTGCTTGCTGTGTGGGAGAGAGAGGTGCTCTGTCCTCCACCCTTTCATAGGGGTCTGGGAGGGCACCTGCTGCCCTGCCCACCCACTGCAGTGGGGTTTCCTGGGAGGAGGGGACCTGATGGGTGACCTGCACTGCCCCACTCATGAGGCAGCCCCCTTTACACTGTGCAGGTTCCCCTTTGGGGCTCCTAGTTCTGCACAGCAGGGTCTGGCCGGTGATGGGGATGCACTGCAAAACCACAGGGCCAGCTGCCCACTGGGCTTTGTGGTGGCAGGGTGGTCTCCAGCACCAGCACATTCTCGGAGTTCCCCAGGGTGGGTGTCTGAGCCAGCCAGGGAGCCCTCCTGAGGACCTAAATTCTCACCCTACTTTCAGTTGTGCACATGGGGCTGGGAACATTGTTGGAACTGAGCTGCTGCTACTGTCCCTTTAGGAGCAGGAGGCAGGAAGCAGCTGGGCCAGGCAGGATGAGGGTGGGCTGGGGGTCCTCCAGCTGCCCCTTCTCTGAGCCTTCATTTCCCCATCTGTAGAAGGGGAGGCTGGGGGTCCTGGACAGTCCCCTTGGGCTCTGGGCGAGGTAGCAGCAAGTCGCCTCTCCTCCTCCAGAGGCTGCAGGAGGAGGAGTGCCAGCGGGACATGGACTGGGACCAGCGGAGGATCCAGAAGGCTCGCGAGGACCTGATGTATGAACGGCAGATGCAGCGACACCAGCGAGACCTGCGCAGGACCCTGGACAGCAGCAACCGCAGCCTGGCCAGGCGACAGTGTCTGCAGTGAGTGCCCTGGGGCAGGGGACTGGGCAGCGTGGAGACCACTCCTTGGGCAGCCTCATCTGGGCACTGGGGACCCCAGGCAGGCTCAGTTCAGGTGGGGGAACCCGCAGTTCCTGATTTGGACCTTTGAGGCCCCAGGAAAAAGCACTGAGTTGGCTGGGGGTCTGAGAGAGGGTCCCCAACGCAGGAGGGCTCTTGGGGCAGCAGAGGACTCCCCAGCTGCCTGGCACCTGTTGGGTACAGATAGGACCCAGGAGTAGTTCCAACAACCAGTTACAGAAACATGTCAAGCCTTGGCTCAGGCTCTGAGGGACCCACAGCATCTGCTCCTGTCAGACCTCGGGTTGCCTGTGGGCCGTGACTTGTCATTCTTTTGGGCTTGGAAGGAGCACTAAGGTATCCATGTCCCCAGGGTCAAGCAGAGCCTCTTCACAGTCATACCTCGGAGGCCTAATCTTAGACACCCCCAGATGACAGTAGCACGGTCCCTGCTTAACTGCAGGGTGATTGCAACATGCCATGGCTGCTGAGGAGAGTTGAAGGGGAACAATTTGGGGGCTCCTTGGGGTTGAAATGCCTTCTGCATCATGGGGGTAACACTAATAAAAAGCCCATGAGCTTTTTCTTAAAATACTTAGGAAGTACACATATGTGCTAATCATTTTCTCCTCGTTTTGTTATTAGGAAAAAACACATGGATGAAGTCAGCACCAATCAGCTCACAGGAGATTATTTCACACAATTTAATACCAGCAGTCGATGAGAAGGACGCCCTCACTCCCCTGGGTCACGTGTGAAGTGTGGCAACCTTAAAGAGTCGTTATTTTAAAAAGCCTGCGTTTCCTTGGTCCAGAAACCCCCACGGAAAGGTCTGAATCTTTTGCAAGTCGAGGCAGAAGAGGGGAAGAGAGCTTGGCCCAGTGGCCCAGAGTGGAGAAGCAGGGGCTCAGCACCAAAGGCGCTTCTTGACCCCAGGGGCCCCAGAGGCGGCTGGCAATCATGAGGGGCAGTGAGGAAAAGGCGTGGCCACGCTTCTCCTGGGAACAGGCGAGGTCCCCTGGGAGCTCGCGCCACTCTTCTCCTTTCACGGCCTCGGTCTTCCAGGTCTGGGGGTTGGCAGCTGTCCATCCTCTCAGTGGGGAGACTGGTGACCAGCCGCGTCCAGGTCCAGTTAACCTGTGTAATAGCCCCAGACTTTTCCCAGTTGTCCCCAGTGACGTCGCACAAAGCTGAGTCGGCTCTGACCCAAAGGTCAGGCCACCGGAGGAGACAGACATGCGTGAAGGCAGGACGCCCCTCCCTCCACCCCATCGTGTCACCCACCGGGCGTCCACAGGCCCAAGTGAAGAGTCAGCAGAAGTGTTTCAGCAGAAGTGGCCTTCGGGTCCCCAAGGGTCTCCTAGACAACTGTCACCATCCTAACCCACGTGTCAGAGGTGTCCGTGGGAAACTAGTGGCGTGACCTCCAGCTGAGAGCCAGCAAAGAGGGAGGAGGGAGAGCGACACCTCTCCTCCTAAAGGAAGTACAGGGAGAGGGGGCATCAGGGTGTGCCTGTGGCTGCTCAGACTGCGGTTCAGCTGCTGCCCTCGGTGACAAGTGCTGTTGTTAGCGAGTGGCGTCGCTCCATCAGGAGGTAGCCAATGAGCGGGCGTCGCTCCCATTGTGATTCTCGAGGCAGCCGGAGCTGGTGTTTACCACTCACATTTTCTAGTTGGAGACCCTGGTGTGGACATGCACAGGGACTTGTCCTTCCCACTGCAGAGAAGCAGCAAGCTCAGGGTGAGCCCAGAAGGCTGGGCCCAGCCACTCCCCTCTCCGGAGAAACAGACCCCAAACCACAGTGGCCTCCAGGAAGGGCAGATGTTTCTTTCCTACCCTTTGGAAGTTCCAGCTGACCGGGAACCCTGTTGAGCAGCGCTGCTCGCCTGGGCTCCCTCTGCAGGTCGCCCGGCCCTCCCCAACTCTCACAGCCCCCATCCTGGGGTCCAGGCTGCCACTCCAGCTCCCACTCTCATGCCACCCCATGGCAGCCAGGGGGACAGGAACAGAGCAGAGGGCACAGCTTCCCTTGGGGACATGCCTGGAAAGTGCACGCTCTGCCTCTGCCCATTTCTCCAGTCCTATGTGCTCATGGTCCAAGGGTGGGACAAACACTTTTCCTTTGAATCACACCATCGTTCCTGCTCCCGTTGCTGTCACCTGCAGTCCCATTGTTGAGACCAGGAAAGCCAGGCTGCGTTGAACTCTGAGGACACAATAACAGCTGGCCCACTCAGGCTGTCACCCTAGGCAGCAGGGTGGAGAGATGCCCTCAGAGGCCCAGAGTCTGGTGGAGTGGAGCAGGGCTTTGGGGCGCCCTCCCCCTCCTCCCTGACATGGCCCAGGCCTCAGCCTCTGCGGGAGCTCTCCACTCTGCCCACGCCTGCCACAAAACTGCCCACAGATGCTGCTATCTAGGACCTGTTGCCCCACCCCTGTGTGGGCCTCAGGAACCCCATGCCCTGAGTCACGCCAGCCATAGGTGAACCATGCCTCTAGTCTGCTCTCTGGAGCAAGGTGGGACCCTGCCGTGACATCAAGAGTTGCTAAAGGTCCAGGGAAAACACAGGACATGCATCTGAGGGGGAGACCAGGGACCCAGACCCCTCCAAGGCCCCTCCTAGAGTCCCCTCCACAGGACGTGCTCCCGCCCACCTGTGTGCAAAGGCAGCACACCCCCTTTGCACAAGGCTGGAGCAAACACCTGTGGTCCCACTCTGCAGAGCCCAGGGTCCCCCAGAACTTGGCCTTTGTTTAAGAGCAGGGATTTCTCTTCCCAGTGAGATTGAGGGGCAAGAACACTCCCCGTGGGGAGGAAGGTGGTTTCCTAGGGCAATGAACTGAGTGGCTTAAACCATAGACACTTAACAGTTCATGGCAGCTCTGGAGGCCAGAAGTCCAAGTGTGGGCAGGGTTGCTGTAAGGCAGAGCCCCGTTCCCCAGGCCTCGAGGGAGGGTGGTTCCAGGCCTCTTGCTGAGCTTCTGATGGTTTCCGGCATACTTCAGTGTGTGGCATCCCTTGATCTGCAAGCTTCTGTTCACAAAATCTCCCCTGTATGACTGATCAGGGCTCACCTGTGACCTCGTCTTCCTGATCACATCTACAATTCCCTATTTCCAGGTAAGGTTACATTATGAGGTACCAGGAGTGAGGACCCCAACATGTTTTGGGGGGGCACACAATTAACCCACTATGGGGGAAAGGCAGAGGGGAGCTTGCTCCATTGCCTCCTCAGGTAATCGTACCCAAGCTGAGCTAGGCAGGCCTTGGGGAGCAACGTGACAACAGGCGACTGACAGAACAGACACTTTGTCGTCCTGCTTTTGAGGATCAACATTGAGAAATGGGAGGCGACCCTTGAGAGCACCAAGGGCTCTTCAAGTCCACAGTCCCTGAGCCAGTCTAACTCGAAGTTCAGGGGTGGAAGTGGAGCCCTGCATAGGACCATAAGGCAAGTCACACATGAGCATGGGCCAGAACCACCAGAAGGCTGCTGCAGCCCTGGAGAGGGCACTTATACCCCAGAATGGTGGGCTCAATGTGGAGAGGCTGGTTTTTAACGCTGAACTTTGCATTTTTATAAAAAATGTTCCAGAAAGGAGGACAGGCGGGAAAGCTGGGCATTTGCTTGTGTTAGATGTGCCCTCTGCTGGTGACACAGCACAGCGCCTTTCCTGTTCTCCCCAGGAAAATGGAATGATTCACTCATTAAGGAGCGAGCCTCTGTCACACGTTGGGCAAGTTCTTGCAACACCCAGGACAGTGCTGGATATTTGTCGTGGTCATCCAGAGAAAACAGGGTGAAATAAGCTAAGTGATTTACCATCCCCAGGAGGCAAAGCCCAGGTGCGGCTGTCTCCATTATTCTCGAGTGGCCTGTTAGAATTTTACACACAACACATAAGCTCCAGAGGACTTTTGTTTTTGTTTCTAACATCCTCTGCTAACTGAAAGACTGTAGATACCTGCCACCTGTATTCTACAATGAATATTTTGCTATATTTCCTTTATTGCCTACCTCCCTGAAGATTTGTTTTTTAAAATTTCCGTTTTGTTGGGCTGGGGCTGTAGCTCAGTGGTAGAGTGCTCACCTAGCATGCGTGAGGCACTGGGTTCGATCCTTAGCACCACATAAAAATAAAACAAATATATATAAAAATTTCTGTTTTGTGCTGTTATAAAAAGACACATCTAAAAACAGCTCAGAAAAGTTAAAAATAATAGCATTCAAAAGTCATTTGAGCCAGGTGCAGTGGCAGACACCTGTAATCCCAGAGGCTCACCTGTAATCCCAGAGGCTCCGAGGCTGAGGCGGAAGGAACACAAGCTCAAAGCCAACCTCAGCAATTTAGTGAGGCTGTCTCAAAAAGTAAGAAGGACTGGGGGTAATTAGTTTCGTGGTTGAGCATCCTTGGGTTCAAGTCCGCAGTCCCTGCCAGTCCCTGAGCCAGTAGTGCAAAACAAAATGAAACAAACAAAATCTATACAATTGCCAAAATTTGGAAGCAACCAAGTGTTATTTAATAGGTGAATGAGTAACCAAACCATGGCACATCCAGACAGTGGATTATTATCCAGTATTTAAAAGAAATGGCACAGTGGGACTGCAAATTGGTGCAACCATCTGGAAAGCAGTATGGAGATTTCTTAGAAAACTTGAAATGGAACATCATAACCAGTTATCCCACTCCTTGGCATATCCCAAAGGACTTAAAATCATCATACTACAGTGACACAGACAAATCAATGTTTAAAGCAGCTCAATTCACAGTAGCTAAAGTATGGAACCAACCTAGGTGCCCTTCAACAAATGGTAAGGAAAATGTGGTATATGTACACAATGGAGTATTACTCAGCCATAAGAAAAATGAAATTATGGCATTTGACAGTAAATGGATGGAACTGGAAACTAAAATGCTAAGTGAAATAAGCCAGTCCCCCCAAAAAAAACAAAGGCCAAATGTTCTCTCTGATATGTGGATGCTAACACACAATGGTGGGGCTTAGGGAAGAGCAGATGTTCATTGGATTAGACAAGTGGGAATGAAGGGAAGGGAGGGGGAATGGGATGGGAAAGTCAGTAGAATGAACTGGACATAACTTTCCTGTGTTCATATATATGAATACACGACCAGTGTAACTCCACATTGTGTCCAACCACAGAATGGGAAGTTATATTCTATGTATGTATAATATGTGAAAACACATTTTACTGTCATGGATGTATAAAAAAAACAAAAAAGAAATGGCCCAAGCCAGGCACAGTGCTGAACGCCTGTAATCGCAGTGACTCTGGAGGCTGAGGCAGGAGGATTGAGAGTTTGAAGCCTGCTCCCGCAAAAGTGAGGCGCTGTCTCTAAATAACATACAAAATAGGGCTAGGGATGTGGCTCAGTGGTCAAGTGCCCCTGAGTTCAACCCCCGGTACTCCCCCACCAAAAAAGGAAATGGCCCAGAGGGATCCTAAATGTACATCACTAAGTCAAAGAAGCCAACCTGGAAAGGCTACGTGCATGATCGCAAGAGGCTCTCTGGGAAGGGCAGAGCTGTGGAGTCTGGAAAGATGAGTAGCTGCCAGGGGTGAGAAGGGACAGGCAGGCAGGGCACGGGGATTTTTAGGGCCATGAAGCTATTCTGCAAAGTACTTTAACGATGGACCCACATCAGATAGATTTGTCCAAATCCAGAGAACGCACATGTTCAACCCCAGGGCTGCAACAGCCCCCGTGTGCCCGTTAGGGAACCTCAAAGAAAGAACTTGGAGGACTCCAGGGGGAGGGTTTGACATTTCATTGCTCCCGCCTCTGGGGGAGGTCGGCCAGTGGAGGCCACCCACGTCTGTGAGCAGGGGATGGGTAGGATGGGGCGCGGCCAGTGCAGCTGCAGTCTGCAGATGTGCGTGAGCGAGTTGATCACTGTGCAGCAGGCCACTCTGATCCTCCCTCACCCAAGCCCCAGACCAGGACAGCGGCCCTCCCTCTGCTTGCTGACCTCCTCACAGTCTTTGAAGTCCTTCCTCCTCATGGCGGGGCACTAACTGGAGTTCACCCCAACACAACACCAAGAGTGAACCCCACTGTAAACATGCCCCAGGTGGGAGTGGCCTGTCAGTGCCTGTCGGGATCCTCACGGCGTGTCCTCAGTTTGAACAAGGCCCTGAGTCAGACGAGAAATACTAAAGGTCTGAGGGAGTTAAGAGATAAAGACAAGGCAGGACGGGGAACAAGAGCCTGCGTTTTATTTTCATAGGTAGGAACATCAAAGGGTCTCAGTGCGACAGGCTTCTTGAGCAAAACAGGATAAAGATGGCAAAAACACCTCGTTTGGGGTGTGGCAGGTTACGCCCACCTCCTCCACCTCTGGGGGCTGCATTTGGAATCAAGGCTTCTTGAACTAGTGAGTTCCAGGGCAAACACAGAATTCCCCCATCAGTAGGAATCTCCTTGCAGGTGGGTGTTCACTGGGCGCCCTTGCAATGAGGGGCTCCCAAGAGCAGTGTTTCGCTGCCCAGGGGTCACATAGTTCAAAGCAATGATTTATCAACTCCCCACGACAAGTGCAGGCCCACACACGGCAACGGATGCACCTCTCTAGTAAGAGACGACAGTAATGGGAAAATGGGGGGTGGGGGGTGATAGGTGGGAACTCAGTACTTGCCCTCAAGTTTTCTGTAAATCTAAAAAGATAAAACCTCCTATTTTTTAAAAAAGTGAAGGCATGAAATAACTAGGAAGGAAACCACTCATTTGCCTGTGGTTTCTTATTCTGAGTTCAAGTTCTAATGTTCAGAAATTGGGATATTCCATGTACCAAGTACTATGAGGACTCTCCCTGTGGGGCCCTGTCTCTCCTGGCCTGCCTCGTCTGTGCTAGCTGGTAACGTCTCAAATTCATGGTTCTTCACCCTGCGTACCTCCACGGTATTGAATATGTACACACACCAATTCTTTTTGTTTTTCTAATCAGGTATTCAGTGACTTGAAGGTATATCCTAGGGCTGAGTGTCCTGTCTCCACCTCGACCCTGACTCTTCTTCTTAATGACTTCTGGTGTCTACCTAGGGTATTGTTGTAGACAGAGGCATCTCATCCACATGATGTCATTGGCTTTGCATTAATCCTGGGAGATAACCAGCAATTATTTATTACCTTCTTTTAAAGATTAGGAGACTGAGGAATAGAGGGACAGCATGATGTCACAGACTACAAGAGGCTGATAAGGATTTAGATTCAGGTCATGCTGACTTCCACTTTAGTGCTCAGGCTTCTTGCCACCAACAGAGACCAGCCCAAGACACGGAACCTCCCAAACTGCAGTGGAGCCTTGCTCTGGCCCCTGGCCTACCTTAGCCTTGGAAGGAATTGACAGTGCTTTGTGTTACAATTTGTGCTTTACTCATTTCTCTGCCCCTTTCAACCATCCTCAGAAATCAGGGCTACTGCCTTTATCACAGATGAAGTCACTGACACGGTCGTGTTCTGCTTCCAACAGAATGGTCTATGTGGCTGATGAAATATCCTAAAAAGTATAACTAGATCCAGGATTGATTAGTAAAATGCATTGCTGACCTCACGAGCCTAACTGGAACCTTGGAAAGTCACATTCACATGTGAGGAACCAGTCAGAGGAAACCAGAGAGCTCACAGGAATGAGCCATAGCAGCAGGGCTGCGCTGGTGTCAAAACTGGTAACAGGAACTTAGATCTTTGGAGGTTAACAGTCAGGAGGACAATGAGAGGCCTTCACAAGGAAAGGGCCCCAAAGCTGAGCTCTGCCTTAGTCTGGCATCTTGGAGGGCGGCTGTACTCTTAGTGAAAGGAGGGTGGATAGAAAAGAGACTGCCAGCAGGCTCTGAGATAGTAATGAAGAGTGATGATGGTGATGGTGGTGGTGATGATGGTGATGGTGGTGGTTTCAATGGTGGTAATTATGATGGTGGTGAAGATGGTAGTGGTGGTGATGGTGAAGATGGTGGTAGTGATGATGGTGATGGTGGTGATTATGATGGTGGTGGTGGTAGTTTTGATGGTGGTGGTGGTAGTTTTGATGGTGGTGGTTACAATGGTGGTAATGATGGTGGTGGTGATGATGGTGATGGTGATGGTTACAAAGGTGGTAATGATGGTGGTGAAGATGGTGGTGGTGGTGATGGTGAAGATGGTGATGGTGATGATGGTGATGGTAGTGGTTACAATGGTGGTAATGATGGTGATGGTGATGATGGTGGTGATGGTGGTGGTTATAATGGTGGTAATGATGATGGTGGTGGTGAAGGTGGTGGTGGTGGTGATGGTGAAGGTGGTCGTGGTGATGATGGTGATGGTGGTGGTTATGATGGTGGTGGTGGTGATGATGGTGATGGTTACAATGGTGGTGATGGTTACAATGGTGGTGGTGATGATGGTGATGGTGGTGGTTACAATGGTGGTAATGATGATGGTGGTGATGGTGATGGTGGTGGTGGTAGTGGGCTTTTTTTTTTTTTTTGTACTGGGAATTGAACCCAGGGGTGCTTAACCACTGAGCAACATCCCCAGCCCTTTTTAATATTTGATTTAGAGACAGGGTCTTGCTGAGTTGCTGAGACTGGTTTTGAACTTGAAATCCTCCTGCCTCTGCCTCCCTAGCCAATGGGATTACAGGCATGAGCCACCGTGCTCAGCCGATGATGGTGGTGGCGGCGGTGGTGACAATAATGCTGGTGTGATGGTGGTGGTAGTCTTGAGAACTCACACCCTATGTCCACTCTTCTACAGCCCCAGAGTTCCAATGTATTCAAAGAAATAAAGGAAATTCCCAGCAGACAAAAATTTCATGCGAGTTTTCTTTTTTTTTTTTTCCTGTGGGTTATGAACTCCCACCTTCACCCCATACACAGATTGCAGAATCACATCAGTTACACATCCATTGATTTACAAATTGCCATACTAGTGTCTGTTGTGCTCCGCTGCCTTTCCCATCCTCCACCCTCCCCCCTCCCCACCTCTCCCCTCCCCTCCCCTCCTCTCTCTCTACCCCCTCCACTGTATAACCCTGAGGGTCTCCTTCCATTTCCAAGCAATTTCCCTTCTCTCTCCCTTTCCCT